ACATGAGGTCATAAACAGTTTCCCAGAAAAATAAAATCAGATAATAATAAAAACTATGGATTGTGGAAGTAATACCCAACACAGTACAGTGCATTCGCAGCTTCTGGACTCCTCTTACCTGGAAAGAAAGATCTCCCATTTCTGGAAGCACATTGGACAGGGACTTATTGCACCGAAGACAGCTCCTCTCGGACTGCACAGAGGGCTTTTGTTTGAACATGAGCATGTGTTTTTCAGAACTGGCTTGTTTCTCCTTCACTCGGTGCTAACAATGCAGCAGAGGCTAATGGAATTAATCAGGGATGCAATTTATCAGCTTAATCCAATCCTGCCCCTTCTGTGAAAACACTGTAGGGCAAAGCAGGGTGTGTGCATTTGTGCACGCATGAATGTTCCGTGAGGAAGCTTTCTTTGTGTGCCTTTTAAAGGCAAGACAGCTCCCAGATAGTGGCACAGACCATGTTCTGTTTTCATTACGGTTAATATTTGTTTACTACGTGCCTGTGTGCTTGTTACGTGTGAGTGGCAACTGACGACTGTCGGACCTCTATTCACGCTTAAGCTCTGCAGAAATTGACACTGAAGTTCTGTAATGTGTTGAGTGCCGAGGAGAACAGAAAATGCATGAAGGTGTGAGAGGGTGGGTGGCTAGGGAGAGAGACAGAGGCTGGAGTGAAATACTGTAGGAGGCTCTGAGGGTGATGAAAGAGGCAGAGTACTAAAGAGGAAGGCCAAGCAGTGCTTACTGCTCCACAGCTTGGAGAGAAGGAGAGAGAGACTCGGGACATTGCAGTGTTGCACGTCATCCTGCCCGTTTTTCAAGTTCTGTTCGGAATTTCCCAGGGCATGCTGAACCCATCGTGACAAATGTGAACATTATTTCAAACTTGACTTTTTTTTTTTAAATGGCCCCTCGTATTCAGTTCTTTAGCTGACTTGCAAACCGGACACAGTGGAATGCTCCATGGCCCTGAGTGAAAAATGGAGAAGCAGACCCTGCTAAGCTACAGGCTCAGTGACCACAGCCTGGTAATTAAAAGTGGACGACACAGGCAGACCTGTCTGCTCAGAGAGGACAGGCCATGCTCCCATTGCCAGCAGGCAGAAACAGAGATGCCCTTTCTGCTGCACTGCAGAAATACACAAGGATTACTGCAATATTCTCCCCTAAAATACCAGATCATATTGCAAACGTCCCACACCTGCCTCTCTTCTGAGAGAGGGGAAGGAAACTCTGTAGAGCTGCAGACCAGTATGTGAACTCCTGTCGCAGCCTGAGGAACCGAGAGTGGGCTGTGTTTCTTGTTATGTTATTAATATATGTGTTTGTAAATGTTTACTAATTGTTACTGCTTTAGAAACAATGTAATTCATCAAGCATGCAAATAAACCTCTTTGAATCTGACTGTATAAAATGGCAGAAGTAGATTCACAAGTGCAATGAGCTAGTTTACAGGTATGATGCCTGGGCCAGTTCACCATAAATTATTCAGATGTGTTATACTAGGATATTTCTTAACACAGGGCTCTTTGTTCAGATGGTCTGATTCGCCCGATACATAAATCTGGACTTGTGTCATTCTTCAGTTCTGTGTTGTTATGAAACTTTTTTAACTGGGTGTTTCTTGTCTGTGCGTCTGCACCTCTTCCGGCTGTCCTGTGCGTGACTTCCAAAACCATCTCATCAGGGGCAGAGTGGAGATTTCAGTGCTTGGGTAGTGACTCTTATAACAGGAGTGAGGTACTGGATCAAGTTAGATTGATCCTCCTCATCTCCATTCTCCTTCTCTCTCTCTCTCCCCCTCTTCCTCTCGGTTTCCTGGACCTTTCCTGAATCTACATGAAAATCCCTTTGAATTAAATCTGTCCACTTCCACTCAAAAGCTTCCACAACCACTCTCACCCCCAGGTCTGGGCCAGCAGGCAGCGTGCCATCACTGAACCCCCGACACAATGCCCCTCCCTGCTTAGTGAATGTGCCAGGAGTTACCCCACCTTTCTCTCGGTTTTCTCTGCCATCCTGCCTGTGTCTGGCTGTGATCGCAGTGCACTCAAGGCCCAGTTGCAGCACTTCCCCCTGAGCTCAGATTTGACAGCATAGTGCCAGTCTGTTCCAATGCTACTTCTTTAGATCACTAGTTAGACACGAGGTGCAAATGTTTATAAAATAAGGTGTAGGCCGTATTTAAGTGTTGCTTTCTGTCGATGCGGCTTTCAACAACGCGTTCAAATTAACTTCATTTGTTTGTCTTTGAGGGTTTTTGGTCGGAATGTTTGTGTTTTCGTCCCCCTGAGATGTTTGAAAATGTGTGTGGCTGTACTATGCACACGGATTAGGGTCTAGTTGAAAGGCCAGTTTTGACACTGGCGTGTTTTTTTTTTCTCTTACAACATTTCTAAAACTGATAAGTGTAAACTCACAGTGCCATCAACCTTGGTTAATCTAGCGCGAAGCCAATTGTGGCGCAGAGGATGGGAGAAAAGGAGGTTAGCATTGCCTGGGATATTTCCTGGAGTGCTCCTAACACAGGGAGTCGGATACTAAGCAAGGAAGCTGTGTAACAGCAGAACAAGGAGAATGTTAATCGCCCGGTGTGTGGGGGAGCGTTCATAGTCAGAGGGCTGTAATTGCAGCCGAACTCGTGCTTCCCCATTGCTCATTCTGCTCTCCTCGACTGCGCCGCGATTGGCATTATTAAAAATTTAATGGCACTAACTTTTTCATAACTCTCATCCATTATTGAGCAGCGTGTGGCCGGGCTTAAGTGATGATGACGGAGGAATTAAATGGCGCAGGTGAAAGGTTGGGCGATGCCCTTTGGAAATCCGCCGGCGTGCGCTGCTAGCGCCCTGTCACACCCAGGGGCTCTCTCACACTCTCATGCGCACACAGAAACAGACTCGCCCCCCAGAAAACCAATCACACACTCTCGCACACATCACGCACACATACGCTCAGGGACTCACTGAAGCTTGGGCACTCCTTAAGGCCACAACCACAGCGTACACAGACTCCGGATTATTAGGACTGGCACTCACCAGCAATCCTGCGTTGAGCTATTGTTGCAATTACACACCGCGCTATATTATGCACATTCCAAAGTTGACTATTTAAACTGAGTACTTTTGCGAATCAAGCACAAAAGTTCTCCTTGCTCTTCTCATTAAACAAAATCGATTTTTTTAATACAGAAATCACACATGAACTTCAGGAGTCTGGTGATGGAGACATTGAGAGGAGCCTTAGTTTAGTATCAGCATCACTCACTGAGGAAAGAGTGATAACTCTGCCTCCTTACCTGATTGATTGAAAGTTTGAAAGGGAGCTGGAGATCGTCTCAAATAGAGCTACTTTGTCTCTCGTTCCAGCAGCCTCTTACCTCTCTGTCTGTGTTGTTATTTCTGTTTTGATCTCCTATTTGTCACTTTGCCTTTCTTTCTCTTTCTGCCAGCCAGTCCTCCTCTTTCTCTCCTACGGCTGTGTCCTGAACTGGGCCGACAAAAGTTGGCTATGTTCCGTTGCAGGGCTTGTATCCAGCAGGGCATTTTTCACTTAACTGACCATTCATTACTTAATTTGCCCTCCAGCTAAAGATCAGGGAAAGAATGAGGGGTTCATTGGAACGCAGCCTTGAAATTTCTCTCGCTGTTTTCTTTCTTCTTCTCAGTTGTGAAAGGAATGGATAGTCATGATCAGTGTGGCCCTCTTAATGTAAATCCAGACATTTGTGTCATCTGCTTGATCTAAAGTGTGGGTTTGAATTAATGCTTTAGTCTTTCAAACGTCTCATATGAGTCTGCTGCAGCTGACAAAGTATAGATACATTGGGGGGCGGGGCGGTGGCTCTGTAAATAAGGATCTATGCCTGTGGCTGGAAGGTTGCCGGTTCGTATCCCGCGGCCAGCAGAGGAATCCTACTCCGGTGGGCCCCTGAGCAAGGCCCTTCACCCCAACTGCTCCAGGGGCACCGTATAAACCCCTGTGCTCTGACCCCCAGCTTCTCTCCCTGTCTGTGTGTCTCATGAAGAGCAAGTTGGGGTATGCAAAATTTCCTAATTCAAGAAATTGTATATGGCCAATAAAGTGATCTTATCATAAGTGTTATAGAGAATCATCTGGGTGATTCTTGTGGAAGAGTAAGTAGGATGGTCTATGAAACCCTATTTGTAGGATAATGAATTACAAGATGAAATGAAGATCTTGATCATATTTTCTGCAGATTCTCAAACTGATGGCTCGATCACAGCCACAATTCAAGGTTTTACTCAAAGAAAAGCTTTTTACAAGTAAGGACAAGATGTAGACACACATATGATGTTTCATAGATACAGTACAGTGCCTTGCAAATGTTTTGTTGAATGTTGATAACTGTGGAACTTCTCAAAGTCATTCTGTGCACCTGAACCCATTGACGTTTGTCATAGTACGGGCGGTGAATTCTTATGAATCATTAGTTTTTGCATTTCTCTGCAGTTCTGCTGACATAAAAGCTTTTGGCTTAAGCATTCCAGTTTTGAGAAAGAAAGGGTTGGGGGACATTTAATCAAGGCACCATTCAGCTGAGGGTTTCTTTTAAAATTGAATTTATATTAGTGGGAGTCAAGGCAGCTTTCTGTCTATAAACTGTGCCTGTGTGCTTGCATGCCTGGTATGGCCTAGTATCCCGATCAGGGATCCAGCCTTGGGCCCTAGGCTGGTGGGACAGGCCTCAGTTTGACACGACCATCAATAGGGATAACTGCTGTGCTGCTAATGGCTGGATGATTTGTGTAGTAAAGGCTGCAGCGAAACAGGGAGGTGAAATAAGACGCATTAACTTAACAACTAGTGAAAGCCCTGTGTGTGACGAAAGATAAACTGCCAGTGTTTGTTATCGTTGAGAGGCCAAATCCTAACCTTCTCTTTTTCTCTCTCCCCTTCCTTCCTTCTCTCTGTTCCTCAATCCTATCCCTCCCCTCCTGTCCTGCCCTGTCCTCTTCCTCTTTCTTCTCCCCTGCAGATGAACAGACCCATCCAGGTGAAGCCAGCAGACAGTGAGAGCAGAGGAGGTAGTGCTCTATTTTTCTTCCACTTTCCACTGGGGGTTTCCTGAGGTCGCTCAGTGGGCACCTGGGTGACTGCAGGGGAAAGAAGGGGATTTTTTGTATTTCACACCTACACAGACAATAAAATGTAATCAAGCAAGGCTGTATTGATCCGACAAAACTAATGCCAGTTTCGCCACATTAACTACAGTCAGTGTAATCCATGCTGACATATTACAAAGTGCTACTCTCTCCAACACTTATGGACGACTTGGAGCTAACAATGCTGAGAGCAGGGGTACAAGCTACAGAGGTGTAATATACAGCTCCACTGTAGTGTTGTCCTGTCCCACTCGTGCACAACGCACAAGTTCAACCCTTTGTGTGAAAGGTTGTGGGTGTGTGGATCAAGCAACCCAGGCACGTTTGTGAAACTCATGTCCTGGAGTCATTCAAGAAAAGGCTGGATGGGATCCTGGGATCAATTAGCTCCTTACTATCGAGCGAGCTTAATGGTCCCCCTCTCATTTGTAACTGTTGTTATATTGTAAAATAGAAATTCCAAACCAAATTTTGCCGAATCCTTCCATCTGACAATAGCAATGTCTGGGAATGCATATTGGTGAAGCAGTTCTATGGCTACATATAACAGAACTGAGAATGTTTCGAAAATGCATCCTGTTCATTTGAAAATGAAGTCTCCCATCTACAGTTGTTACTACAGACTTTTACACCTACACCAAGGGATAAAATGTGTCAACATCCATATAAAAAGAACAGGATGCCTTAATGAAACGTGGGCATTTCAAAACACCTACCAAGCATTTCTTTTATTCCTTTTTCAACCGTTTTTTTTTTGTCGTTTGAAAATCGTGTGGTTCTGAAAACTGTGTCCCCTTGGTTAGGGAAGGGAGTATAATTAGAGGCTTGTTTTCTGGAAGGTCTGTGCCAGCAGCAGGACAGGCTTAGACCCGGCACTGTGCTTGTGTTGCTGCTGTGTGTAATTGTGGCTGCAGTTTCCTGCAGCAAAGCTCTCAGAGGGCCTGAGGAACACCTTCCAGATGAGTAGTTCTGACGATGTTTCTGTGAAAGACAGGTGAGACGGAGAATGAGCTTGCCTTTCACTTATTAGAGATTAGTTTAACTAGCTACAGATATATCTTTATTTTACCTTATACATAGTAGGTAATTCTACTTGTGCTTATTTGCATTGGATTACTTTATCACAGGGCTACTGTTGATCCAAACAGCACTACTACAGTATGAGTGTTATCAATAAAGCCTTGTGGTGCTATTTTTCTTTACTTGACACATTGCAAGGACACGATCGGCATTCAAGATCTACTGGATTACTGCTCACGTGTGCGCACGCCGTATCAAGGATCAAACATTTTGAGGGTATCCAGGGAAGAGGTTGAGATGAGGCTCTTTCTTGACCTCTGTTAAGTCACGGCCCAAATGTGATTCTCTCTCCTTAATGTGGAGATCTAGAAAGCAGCGGATTCAGTGTGTTCATATCTGCTCATCTGGAAAAATAGAATTCTGGCCCATTTCTTCCAGTGGTTGTCCGTCCTAAGATTATTTTAAAGAAGTATTTTAAAGGTAGCATTCCCATAGCTCTCTTCAGCTGTGAAGCAAAGAGTGATAGAGCACCTCAGTAAATCCTCCATCACGCAATTAACAGTGTGTCAGTGCTGTTCATGGTTACAGATTAAGCAGGGGGGGGTTTTCGTACTCAGGCCATCCACTTAATTTCAGGTTGTCCAGGCAAGGTGACCTGCCTCTGCAGCTGTATCGACACCAGAGCAGACTGACTCACAGCCTGAGACAGGGAGCTGGTGCCGGAGTGTCAGCTGTTGGCAGCAGAGGGCACCGAGTCCTGATCAGCTGGGTGTCAGCCGTGACATGAGAGACAGGGCACCTCCCTGTCTCACTCCAGCCTCCACAGTACAGCTACGATACACGCTGGAGAGAATCAAACATTCTGAAGGTTATTGGATGTGCCCAAAGATCCTTCTGCAGCAAAGAAGGCAGTGGTTGAATCTTTCAAAGAATTCCAATTTCTTTTCAGACAACACTGTGCACAGAGCAGTGATACTGTGGCCTTCTCCTTAGACTGCTGCTATTGTTATGTTTTTATTGGTCAGAGACCCTCTCATAAAACGAACACCAACGCAATTTGGAATTTTTGTACTGTTTTCATGATCAGCCTATGAATGGCACTGACCTCCTCTGATCAAATAAGCTATGCCAATCACTTGTCCTCTCAGCCTCACTGATAGTTGAAATAGTGATCGGTTCTACTTGGAGGGAGAAAGTGTGCACAGATTTACTGTCTGGGATGAATAATTAATCAACGGAAGACAAACAGCAACATTAATTTGGGGGTATCTGTAAAACATGAAATGCTGTAATTCTGAGACAAATCTACTGTTCTAGATGCATTTTAGTTTTCTCAATCATATGACAGGAAGAACAGTATTAATTTAGCACATGTTTAAGGCTCTGTTTAAACACGTGATAATTTCTAGTACTTTAGGTTCAGCTTATAAAACACGTCTGATCAGTGGGCTCAGTGAGATTCAAAGTCCCCTGTTTAAGGGAACTCCAATAACTACTGTACCATAGGTGCTTCTTGGGGAATTTAATTTGGTTAATAAGGTTTCTGAATGTGTCTGGAACCCCTCGGGCTGTTTGTTTTGATTTTCTTGTCAGAGTGAGCACCTTCCAGCAGCACCCAAGTCTTGATCAAAGAGAACAGATTCTTCATCTCAGACTTCTAGATGGGGAAACCATCAGAACCGGGTGCAAATGTTTAAGGATATACAGTATCTTAAAGTTTCTTGTTAGTACCCATTCAGAGCTACTGAGTGCAATATGAAAACAATTTCTTGTGTATGGTGTAAACTTTGAGATATTTTTAAACCGATTCACGATCACTATATCCTTATGTAGAAACTGGAGATATAAAGCAGGTCAAAAAAATATTTTTTACAGTTGGACTTGCATTAGCACATTAGACCTTCCTTGAGCTATTTAGTTGTAATGCAATCTAACACATGTGCTAGATTTAATCTTCGTGACTGTATTCGTAAGATCCAGCTAATTTAAGTCTGGAAAAGAATCAGAGGTTTGTTTAAACTTAGAAGCATTTCAAACGTAATAGTCAGTCGTGCTATTTACGGGCACACCATCTTTAGGAGAATCATCTAAGATCTGAGTGTGAACCGCAGTTATTTGTTTGGTAAATGCTTTGTAAAAGAACTACTACTACAAGTAATCAGATCAGTGGGATTTAACACTGTGGATTTTTAGATCATTAATCAACTAGAAATCAGGGTTTTTCTAATATGTCTAATAAGGTCTGAATAATGTGTGGATCTCACTGATGATAAGGTGGCGACAAAATCTCAGGAGGCACACTGATTTGCCAGCCAACAGTTTAGGGAATACAGTCTACTGATTGTCTCACAGCCCCTGTCAATGACTGGAATGGGTCCTGACACAATTACGCTTTCACTTTATTAGCAAGAGACTTGAAATCCCCTTGGAGGGCTGTGGCCTCTGTCTGATATAATTTGGACCCACATGTGCCATTACAGGATGTTCAATTAACCTGTTCATCTGGGAAGCAATATCAAGGACTCCTGCACCTGGGAAACATTTCTGACTTTTCTTTAGTGCTCTATCACCATATTTAGAACCAGCCACCAGGAGCACTTCTGCAGGGTCATGTTCAGACTCAGAATCAATAAGTTCTGGAAGGGTATTTCATTTATTTCTGGTGTCAAGTTGAGGCAGCGATGAGGTTTTCTATTTTTGCTTTTAGAATTTCTTGTACCAGTCATCTGTGCGACAGAGTGCAGGGAAGAATGTCCTTGTTCTCCCAAGCTGATGCACAATGACCCAGGAGAGAGTAGGAGGTCTTCTAGGCTCCTCTGATCTACTTATACTGTACTTAAGATGAATTATTCAGAATTCCAGATGTCTGTCTGAGGCCATTTACTGTATATGGGCTCAGATCTTCTGACGTTCTAATTCTAATTTAATTTCTTTTAGTCGTTACTAATTTATTTCTAATTTATTTACTACCAAGCTCCAAGCAACATCTGATTACATGGATCCATCATCTCAAGACATAGATAATAGGTGGATAATTAAAACAATGTCAAATGGATTAGAATTAAACTCTAAATATATGCAGGAAAACAGGTAAGCATGACTAAAGAATTTTGTACCTCACACAGACTTGATGCAGAAGGATAATAGTTAAACTCTGCTAATGGCAGAGCATTCCACTATTTTGGGAGGGTGCTGATTTTAAAATGGCGATTTCTACTGTCTGCTTTTGGTCTTAAACTTCTTTCAATCAAAGATCTGTAGTTAATGTATTGAAATCCTTAGTATAAGCAGACAGGAAAACTCAGCTGAGATGCGGAGGTTTTTAGCAGCGGTGAAAAGTGACAGAGCAGAGTGTGACCGTCGCGGTTCCGGGCGGGCTCGTGCCCTCCACCGCTCCACCCCGCCCGTTTCGTCCTGCAAACCCGGGTCTCCGGCGTAACACAACAGGGAACCAGCCGCATGAGCTAAAGGAGACCTCCCCCAGCCCAGGCGGCTGAGGTCCCTGCTACGCGCAGGGAGGGCGATGACGTCACTGTGTCCGAACTAGCTCCGTTACAAAAGCATCGCAGATAGACCAAACCAGCGGAGCAGCCGAGCTCTGTCGGGACGGTCCCAGCAGCGGGGTGAATGTCCCCTCCTGGGATGGGGACGGGCTCCTCTCTCTCTGCCAGCTGGAACTGTCGCCTGGGGCTGCTGCCAGTGTTTTGATCTTACAAAAGCATGTTTTCCGATTCGGAACCTTCGTCTCATCCCTCTGCCATCAGGGCGCACAGATCGAAGCTGCACCAGCGTGGTGCGTCTCTCCAGCCTGCGGTCTGCCCCCTGATCACCGTCGCTGTGCCAGCAGTGAGACCTGAGGGCTGTCCCTTATCTGTGTAGAACTGCTTTCAGGTGCCTTACTG